GTGTCTGTACCCCTCCCCAGTACACTGCCTGTGTCTGTACCCCTCCCCAGTACACTGCCTGTGTCTGTACCCCTCCCCAGTACACTGCCTGTATCTGTACCCCTGCCCGGTACACTGTCTGTGTCTGTACCCCTCCCCAGTACACTGTCTGTGTCTGTACCCCTCCCCAGTACACTGTCTGTATCTGTACCCCTCCCCAGTACACTGTCTGTGTCTGTACCCCTCACTCCTTATTGTATCTCTTCTCATAATTTATTTATTTCCTGTCAGGAAATGTCATTGATTTGGCTACAGGTTGGGCAATGTGGCAACCAGATTGGAAACGAATGGTGGCAGATACTCAACAACAACGCGAGTGAAGAGGGCAGGTAAATCTTCAAACAGCATTAACCCCATGATTCCCTCCCACTCTGTGTACCATGCGGTTCCGACTCCCACAGTGAGCAGGACAAACAGCAGTAACCCCATGATTCCCTCCCACTCTGTGCTCCATGCGGTTCCGACTCCCACAGTGAGCAGGACAAACAGCATTAACCCCATGATTCCCTCCCACTCTGTGTACCATGCGGTTCCCACTCCCACAGTGAGCAGGACAAACAGCAGTAACCCCAGGATTCCCTCCCACTCTGTGTTCCATGCGGTTCCCACTCCCACAGTGAGCAGGACAAACAGCAGTAACCCCATGATTCCCTCCCACTCTGTGTACCATGCGGTTCCCACTCCCACAGTGAGCAGGACAAACAGCAGTAACCCCATGATTCCCTCCCACTCTGTGTACCATGCGGTTCCCACTCCCACAGTGAGCAGGACAAACAGCAGTAACCCCATGATTCCCTCCCACTCTGTGCTCCATGCGGTTCCCACTCCCACAGTGAGCAGGACAAACAGCAGTAACCCCAGGATTCCCTCCTACTCTGTATTCCATGCGGTTCCCACTCCCACAGTGAGCAGGACAAACAGCAGTAACCCCATGATTCCCTCCCACTCTGTGTACCATGCGGTTCCCACTCCCACAGTGAGCAGGACAAACAGCAGTAACACCATGATTCCTCCCACTCTGTGTTCCATGCGGTTCCCTCCCCCACAGTGAGCAGGACAAACAGCCCACGATTGAGCTCTAAGCTGTGAGTTGTGTCTTGGATCCATTGGTCAGTGTTCTCCTACCAGTGATAAATGGTGCTGAGATCTGAGTCCACTTATTATTTTGCTTTTTAGATACAACTACTTCTCCCGTGACAACTCCCTAAATGCAATTTGTGTGGATAGTGAACCCAAAGTGATAAGAAAAATTCAGAAGCAAGTTAAGAAAAGGTGAGTGTTATAAAGTGTTTTACATATCTCCCATAATTTCATAAAACTACGTCTATCACTCTGCTGCGGTCCTCTGATCCATTGGCGAGTTGACGCTACATCACAACCAAGATAATTCATGAAAGGGACACTCCAGTGCCAGGAAAACAATCCATTTTCCTGGCACTGCAGGTACCCTCTCCCTCCCACCACCCATCCCAGGTTGCTGAAGGCGTGAAAACCCCTTCAGTGACTTACCTGAGACCCCCGCCGATGTCCCTGCGGCGGTGATTTCGGGTCCGCCCATGCTCCTCCCCCGCTGACGTCATTCAGAACGTTCGCGCATGGGGAGTTGAGCGATGCTGGAGGTCCTCACACAGCGTGAGGAAGTCCAGCGACGCTGTAGCACAGAAAACCTGTGCTAGAAACCAGGAAGTTCCCTCTAGTGGCTTGTAACGGACCGTTTCTCTCACAAGGGGATAAAATCGGTTTAGGCGATAATCCCCTTTCCCATAGACCAGCAGCTATTGCAATCACCAACTTCCCGAACTCCAAACTGTACGAATCCCCAACTCACGAACAAGAAATACACGAACTCTGGAAGCAGCCGAACAGGAAAAGCAATACGAACGGCTTACACTCCTGGCAGTCAGCACACAATCCAATTCCCCCAATAACGAGACGACACTTCGTTTTGAGGGTTAAGCAGAATCTACAGATTTATTCACACCACCTCCTTTTAAGACATTCTCCCATGCAAGGGAGGGATCCACAACAATTAGTACCCCAGCCAATAATGTACCAGTTACCTCCCACACATCTCCTCCCCTTAGTGTGACACATAATCCCATTAGTACAAACACAAATTCCCTGGGATACTGGATGTTCCCCTAAACATAGGGATACCCCTTTAAATGTTACATCCCCTGGTAGCCCTGATCTGGGTGAGACACATATCCAAAAATCACCCAGATCGGACCCGGGGTTCAGGAATTATAAAGGGTTAAAGTTTTGACCGACTGCATGGCAAAAGTTTTCGAAAATAGTTCCATGTATTTTGGCCCTGCAGTCGGTCACAGAAAAGGGAATCAAACACACGAATTGCCTGTGTTACAGAGCTTGGGGAGGATTCGTATGAATCCCCCTGTTCGTGGGATCCTTTCTACCGAACGGCGGGCCGTTCGGTAGTTTCTGCACGAATTGCTGGAAGTCTGGAGGTCTCAGCGGTGTTTGCTTAGTCGAGTGTCCGATTTTAGTTCCAGATACTCGACGGCAAAACACCGCTGTTCGGGAGTTTAAGATGGCCGCCGCCACGTGTTCGTTTCCCGAATGGCGGCCACCCAGAGGACACAACACACATTACACATATTGCCAATTACCCGTTTGCAACATTGTTGCAAACGGTAATTGGAGGCACACTTACTCCAGGGTGGTCTGGTTGTTCGGTAGTTTCACCCAATATAATGAATGGAGTAATTCTGCCGAACAATCAGACGAATGCTGCATACACATAACACTGTTTACCGAACATATAATATTAAATACAGCCTGAATGCAATTTGCTACACAGTCTTAAAAAGGCATTATTCCTAACAGGCAGAATATGTCCACGGATGGCCCTTAAAGGGCCAGTAGCAGCAATATAAAAATGTCACATGCCCAAATATTGCATACAAAAGTACGAATTCACAAGGGGGCCATAGTCAGATGGCAGGAGGCTGGCAACCAGGCTTCTCCAGTGCATAGTGGCGAGGTTGGTTTCGCCACACTTCTCCCCTTTACCAATCAGACTAACAGGGTATCTGACCTCCTGCCGGTCAGTGCCCTTGTTAGTCCAGCAGCCCACCCACAAAACACAATCAGTAATACAGCCCACCCACAATAACTGGCTACTACACCTGGGTAGCGGAGAACTTTGTCCGTGTCCAGGTGCCTCACCATGGCTGTGTGGGTGACTGGTCAGCGTACTGGGTGGGTTGCTGAGTGGGCAGAGACCAGCGGTACTCTGTCCTGGTGCCAGCACTACCATGGGAGCAGTCTGGTTGGAGCCTGGTTGCTGGAGGAGAAGACAGACTGTCTCCCCTTTGCCTAAACAGTCCTGCTGCTGGGTGACAGGACCGACTGTCCCTACCCCCGGTGGTGCATGTGCAGCGACTACTGTCCCATCTGCACTGTTGTGGAGATCACTGTCTCCCCTTGGTGGGCTAAGCTGCCGCTGGGGAGAGGGTGTAACAAGCTCCTCTCCCATACATACTTTCAGCCGCTGGGGAGAGGGGATAACAAGCTCCTCTCCCTGACACTCTCTCTGCTGTTGAAGGGGGAGACCGACTGTCTCCCCTTTCAATAATTCGTCCTGTTGCTGGGGAGAGGTGATAACTGGTTCCTCTCCCTGGAACACTCTCTGCTGTTGGAGAGGGGGACCAACTGTCTCCCCTTTTAATATATTGTCCTGCTGCTGGGGAGCGAGACCGACTGTCTCCGCTTCCTGCAGGACACACTGCCGCTGGGGAGGAAGGACGGCACCTTCTGCTCCCTGGAACACACACTGCCGCTGGGGAGGACGGACTGCACCTTCAGCTCCCTGGGACACACACGGCCGCTGGGGAGGAAGGACGACACCTTCAGCTCCCTGGGGTACACACTGCCGCTGGGGAGGAAGGACTGCACCTTCAGCTCCCTGGGACACACACTGCCGCTGGGGAGGAAGGACGACACCTTTGGCTCCCTGGGACACACACTGCCGCTCGGGAGGAAGGGCACTGCACCTTCTGCTCCCTGGGACACACACCGCTAGGAGAAGGACGCACCTTCTGCTCCCCAAATATACACTGCCGCTAGAGGAAGGGACGGTGCACCTTCTGCTCCCCCTGGGGTACACACTGTCGGGCTGGGGAGGAAGGACGGTACCTTCAGCTCCCTGGGATACCCACGGCCGCTGGGAGGAAGGATCTACACCTCTAGCTCCTGGGGTACATCAAGCCGCTGGGGAGGAAGGACTGCACCTTCAGCTCCCTGGGACACACATACCGCTGGGGAGGAAGGACGGCACCTTCTGCTCCCTAAAAAGACACACCGCCGCTGGGGAGGAAGGACGACACCTTCAGCTCCCTGGGACACACACCGCCGCTGGGGAGGAAGGACGACACCTTCAGCTCCCTGGGACACACACTGCCGCTGGGGAGGAAGGACGACACCTTCAGCTCCCTGGGACACACACTGCCGCTTGGGAGGAAGGACGACACCTTCAGCTCCCTGGGACACACACTGCCGCTGGGGAGGAAGGACGACACCTTCTGCCCTGGGTACACACTGCCGCTGGAGTAGGAAGGACGTACCTTCAGCTCCCTGGGATACCCACGTCATTGGGGAGGAAGGACGACACCTTCAGCTCCTGGGGCTACACTGCCGCTGGGGAGGAAGGACTGCACCTCTGCTCCCCTGGGACACACACTGCCGCTGGGGAGGAAGGACGCACCTTCTGCTCCCTACACACTGCCGGCTGGGAGGAAGGACGTACCTTCAGCTCCCTGGGATACACACTGCCGCTGGGGAGGAAGGACGGTACCTTCTGCTCCCTGGGGTACACACTGCCGCTGGGGAGGAAGGACGGTACCTTCTGCTCCCTGGGGTACACACTGCCGCTGGGGAGGAAGGACGGCACCTTCAGCTCCCTGGGATACACACTGCCGCTGGGGAGGAAGGACGGCACCTTCTGCTCCCTGGGTACACCTATGAGTCCCCGTAACGCACTCTGCCTCCGGATAGGGCGGCTGATACCTTTGGCTGGATCTGCCATGAACTCCAGGTACTCGTCTACCTGGCTCCTTACGAACTGCACGTATTTCTCCGGGGGGTTGGGTCCAAAGAAAGCCAGCCGCATAGCAAACTCTCTGTCATACTGCTCCTGAGTGTAGCTAGGTGCCATGCTTGCGCTGCTGAAGTTGGCTCTTTTGTCGATAGGGTCGCTGTACGTGTACTGGCGTTGCCCTCACTTTGTAATCCAAGGAATGGTGTTGCCCTCACTTTGTAATCCAAGGAATGGTGTTGCCCTGTAGCTGTCTTTCTGGTTGTAGGAACGATCCCGCCGCTTGCCACCAATTGTAACGGACCGTTTCTCTCACAAGGGGATAAAATCGTTTAGGCGATAATCCCCTTTCCCATAGACCAGCAGCTATTGCAATCACCAACTTCCCGAACTCCAAACTGTACGAATCCCCAACTCACGAACAAGAAATACACGAACTCTGGAAGCAGCCGAACAGGAAAAGCAATACAAACGGCTTACACTCCTGGCAGTCAGCACACAATCCAATTCCCCCAATAACGAGACGACACTTCGTTTTGAGGGTTAAGCAGAATCTACAGATTTATTCACACACACAGCCTCCTTTTAAGACATTCTCCCCTGCAAGGGAGGGATCCACAACAATTAGTACCCCAGCCAATAATGTACCAGTTACCTCCCACACATCTCCTCCCCTTAGTGTGACACATAATCCCATTAGTACAGACACAAATTCCCTGGGATACTGGATGTACCCCTAAACATAGGAATACCCCTTTAAATGTTACATCCCCTGGTAACCCTGATCTGGGTGAGACACAGATCCAAAAATCACCCAGATCGGACCAGGGGTTCAGGAATTAGAAAGGGTTAAAGTTTTGACCGACTGCATGGCAAAAGTATCCGAAAATAGTTCCATGTATTTTGGCCCTGCAGTCGGTCACAGAAAAGGGAATCAAACACACGAATGGCCTGGGTTATAGAGCTTTGGGAGGATTCGTATGAATCCCCTTGTTCGTGTGATCCTTTCTACCGAACGGCGGGCCGTTCGGTAGTTTCTGCACGAATTGCTGGAAGTCTGGAGGTCTCAGCGGTGTTTGCTTAGTCAAGTGTCCGATTTTAGTTCCAGACACTCGACGGCAAAACACCGCTGTTCGGGAGTTTAAGATGGCCGCCGCCACGTGTTCGTTTCCCGAATGGCGGCCACCCAGAGGACACAACACACATTACACATATTGCCAATTACCCGTTTGCAACAATGTTGCAAACGGTAATTGGAGGCACACTTACTCCCGGGTGGTCTGGTTGTTCGGTAGTTTCACCCAATATAATGAATGAAGTGATTCTACCGAACAATCAGGGGAATGCTGCATTCACATAACACTTTATACCGAACACATAATATTAAATACAGCCTGAATGCAATTTGCTACATAGTCTTAAAAAGGCATTATTCCTAACAGGCAGAATATGTTCACGGATGGCCCTTAAAGGGCCAGTAGCAGCAATATAAGAAGCTTTGTCACATGCCCAAAGATTGCATACAAAAATACGAATTCACAAGGGGGCCATAGTCAGATGGCAGGAGGCTGGCAACCAGGCTTCTCCAGTGCATAGTGGCGAGGTTGGTTTCGCCACAGTTTTCTTTTATGAGAACTCTGGGATGTGGATTGGGGGTCTTGTCCTTATATGGCTAGAGTTATATTCTGACGTCCGTATGGGCACATCTATATAGTAACTGAACAAATGGACACGAGGTCTCTCTCTCGGCTCTTCTTCCTGTACAGCTATGTAACAATGTAACTTTCCCTTCAGGAGTCCAGCAATTACCATCGGCTTTTGAACATCCATTATCCTGTAACATCCTTTATTGTTTTATTATGTATCCGTAACTGTAAGAATAAACCGTAAGAAACCGTAAGTCAGGTTGCGTATTAGTACTTTTGGTTAATATAGACTTATATTAATGTGTCAAGCCTTTGACCCAAGACTATATATACAAAAGTCTTTGTATCAATCAACCGGAAAAAAACACAGAAGAAGAAGGAACTAAATTATTACAGTTTTTTCCTGTATTGTTTACATAAAGTGTGTTCTTTATAGACCTGCACTTATTAACTGGATCACCAATTGTCCCAAACTGGCAGATCACATTCATTCGTCCGAGGCTGCTGCTCAGAATACATTGGTTCTGTAGTGGTTATTAGTTGTATTACCCTGCAGGCATTTAATGGGTCATTAAGGTCATTTTACCATTTAATGTTTAGAATTTGGGTCTTTGTCAAGGGAAAGGAAAACGGAAAAGAGTTAAAGGGACACGTTAGGCACCCAGATCACTTTATTTCATAGACTGGTCCGAGTGCAATGTCCCTGTCCCTTTAACCCTGCAGTGTTAAAGGACCACTATAGTCACCCAGGCCACTTCAGCTCAATGAAGTGGTCTGGGTGCCAGGTCCCCCAGGTTTTAACCCTGCAGCTGTAAACATAGCAGTTTCAGAGAAACTGCTATGTTTACATTGAGGGTTAATCCAGCCTCTAGTGGCTGTCTTCCTGACAGCCGCTAGAGGCGCTTTTGCGACGCTCAATGCGAAAATCGCATCCAGCGTGCAGAATGTTCATAGGAAAGCCAGCTTCAGTTATCGCAAGCGCTCAGTAGCCTAATCTTCCTGTTCGTTTCAGAACTGGAACCGAGGAGTTCTGCCGCTGCAACCCATTCAATGTTTGTTCTGCAGTTTGTTTTGAGGTGTAATGGGTTGTGTTAAAGAGTGGTCTTTGGGGTGTCACTTTTTGTTGCAGCTTGAAGGAATATGGACGTTTCTGTGACCTCGCTCACTGCCAGCCGCCCACTGGATGGTTTATATTTATTACTCGATATTCTGTGAGCTCCAGAGACTGTGGTGAATTAAATCACTTGAACACATCCGTTTCTTAAAATACTGGAACCCCCATTCTTTCCTTTGTATTTATTCAGTTCATTCATTCACTGACTCCGTTTGAATATTTGGTCAATCCACAACCAAACCTCTGGACCACGTCTGCATTGTTGGCCAAGTTAGCTGCGGATTCTCTGGTCGTTTGCACAAAACAAAGAAACCTAACGGGTTATTAACTGAAGTGAGAATTCAAATTACAGACAATCTTAACCCAACATGAAAACCTTGGTTTGAGTTACATTGCGAGTGAATGGACTGTGGAAACTCGTGCACCCTCTGATGAGTTTTTGTAAATTTCTAGCGCATCCTCTTTGCTGAGCTACTTCTGGCCGGATTATCTTTCTACACTCGACCAGATAACTATTAAACCATCTCGCAGATACGTGATAAAACCACTGAGGCGGCTGCAGTGTCAGCGCTGAGCAGGCTGTGTTTGCTTCCAGTACTGCACAGATGTCACCCAGCACCTCTCTTTCAGGCACCTTCAAAGCGGCTCCCCTTGCAATTAGCTCCAGCATCAAGTCAGCGTCTGGATGGTGAGACGACGACGTACCGTCAGACATGTCACAGGCGATGAGTCCCATTGAGTCAAAATGACATTCTCTGCTCAGTTTGTCGTGTTCCCTGCAGCTCATTAGTGCAGAGAGAGAGCCGTACAGAGAAGCTGTGTCTTTTATAACATAGAAAAACATCTTGAACCTTCATTTCGAGTTTTTTAGTTTTTTTACATTGAAGCTAAAGTTTCTTTTTAGCTGCAGTTCCATCTCTTTGGGAACGACGAGTGTTTCTGTACTTATCTTGGTCTCCAATCAAGGGAAACTCTTGCAGAACATTTACAGATTGGACCTGGTCATGCCGGTATTGTGAATTTATCAATTTAACATATTATTAATTAGCCCTCGGTTTTTCTCCTTTTAGAGAACGAAGTCTACTCTACACAGTCCAGTTCTGTGATCCCAGTAATGTCCACTAGGGGTGTGCAAACCCAGAGACCTCATTTCCAACCAAGCCACTAAAAAGTTCCCTAAATTATCACTATTGATGGCCGGTAGTTAGCAGCAGCCACTAATTAGTGTTTCCATTCAATGCTGACTTTAGATTTTTTTACCAGTTGACAGCCAATAATATCTGCTCTCAAAGATACCGACCACCCGCAGGTAAAACACAGAAACACACCTTGTGTAAGTTATCACAATGGCATCCACACCGTGCCAGTAAACAATTCTGACCCTGAGCATGCCTGCACTCTATGATTGGCCTTAGCAGGAGGTAGCGGCACTGTATACAATATATTAAACTAAATACACTATTATACTAATATAACTATATATTACATATACCATATGGGACAGGGGACCTCCTTACACCATAACCTTATAGCTGCAGTTATAATACACTGTGTGCGGGGAGACAGGGGACCTCCTTACACCATAACCTTATAGCTGTAGTTATAATACACAATGTGGGAAGACAGGGGACCTCCTTACACCATAACCTTATAGCTGTAGTTATAATACACTGTGTGCGGGGAAACAGGGGATCTCCTTACACCATAACCTTATAGCTGCAGTTATAATACACAATGTGGGAAGACAGGGGACCTCCTTACACCATAACCTTATAGCTGCAGTTATAATACACTGTGTGCGGGGAGACAGGGGACATCCTTACACCATAACCTTATAGCTGCAGTTATAATACACTGTGTGCGGGGAGACAGGGGACCTCCTTACACCATAACCTTATAGCTGTAGTTATAATACACAATGTGGGAAGACAGGGGACCTCCTTACACCATAACCTTATAGCTGTAGTTATAATACACTGTGTGCGGGGAAACAGGGGATCTCCTTACACCATAACCTTATAGCTGCAGTTATAATACACTGTGTGCGGGGATAGGGGACCTCCTTACACCATAACCTTATAGCTGTAGTTATAATACACAATGTGGGAAGACAGGGGACCTCCTTACACCATAACCTTATAGCTGTAGTTATAATACACTGTGTGCGGGGAAACAGGGATCTCCTTACACCATAACCTTATAGCTGCAGTTATAATACACAATGTGGGAAGACAGGGGACCTCCTTACACCATAACCTTATAGCTGCAGTTATAATACACTGTGTGCGGGGAGACAGGGGACCTCCTTACACCATAACCTTATAGCTGTAGTTATAATACACTGTGTGTGGGGAGACCGGGGACCTCCTTACACCATAACCTTATAGCTGTAGTTATAATACACAATGTGGGAAGACAGGGGACCTCCTTACACCATAACCTTATAGCTGTAGTTATAATACACTGTGTGCGGGGAAACAGGGGATCTCCTTACACCATAACCTTATAGCTGCAGTTATAATACACTGTGTGCCGGGAGACAGGGGACCTCCTTACACCATAACCTTATAGCTGCAGTTATAATACACTGTGTGCAGGGAGATAGGGGACCTCCTTACACCATAACCTTATAGCTGCAGTTATAATACACTGTGTGCGGGGAGACAGGGGACCTCCTTACTCCATAACCTTATAGCTGCAGTTATAATACACAGTGTGCGGGGAGACAGGGGATCTCCTTACACCATAACCTTATAGCTGCAGTTATAATACACTGTGTGCGGGGAGATCTCCTTAAACCGTGTTTGTAATGTTTCTTTAACAGTAAAACATGTTCGATCCATCACAATGTGTAAACACTGCATGCTTAAAGGTTTGTTTTGATTTTCCCCCAACCTTTGCCCTGTGCAATAGGCTATAAATTCACGGTTGTGTATCTGACTTGTATACTAGAGAAAACGTAATTAATTTGTGTGCTATATCCAACATCACGCCTCTCTATAGCTCCAGGCTCTGTCTTGCAAGAAAAATTAGGTAATCACTTGAAACATAAGAATTTATTGCATTTCTATTTGGCTCTGAATGGATTCCGGCGGCTGCTTTATTGTATCTCTGAGACTATTATTTTATTCCCTAATGCTATCTTGTGTCACATAACCACATGCTCTGAGCGCCCGACCAAACATTTGAAGCTGAGTTTTTGTTGTGTCCTCTTCTCTGCCTTTTGATGCCCGGGCTGAGAGAGTCCATGGCTGACAAACTGCCTCCTATTGTAGAGGGCATTAAATAGTCCTAAAGCATGATTTTGTCCCATGGGGTTTCTGTACAGGGTCAAGGGGTAAAGAGAGATGATTTTTCTGGGAATAATTGATGCCAGAGGATTTGGCTCGCTCTCTGAAGGCGCAAACATGTTAAGATAAAATGTGACCACAGGGCAACGAGAGATAGGAAATGGCACGTTGAGGGACAGGGTTTGCATACCAACGGATTTTTAAACATTTGAAGTTTTCTTGAAGTGGGAGTTGTAATAGAATCGATATATATCTATACGATATGTGGTTTCTCGTCTTCATTTAGCAATCTAGGAAGGCTGGAGAGGCTAAAACAACACAGAATGCTTAAATCATCTTACAAAATATGAGGAGCGTTACGTGATTAAATCCAGAGTAGACTTAACTATAAGGGGTTTCAGAGGGCCCCCCACAGAACCATGAATTTGCTTTCATTCATTCACAATCGCAATATAGAGAATTAAGAGGTGGGGGGGACCACTAAAACATTTAGGGCCTGGTGGGATCGTAATCTTTCTTTGATTACATCCAAGGGATTTATTCACTAAACCGTACATTTTAGTAAAGTGAAAATTAAATTACAATATTTAGGCCAGAACAGCTGATCAGGACAAATTCTCCAAATTCGTTATAGTCATAGCTTGACTGCTTTGGTCTGTGTCATTGTTTAGTGAATAAACCCTTTATTGTACAAAGCATTTCTGTGAGGTATGTCTCTCCCTCCAGCTTAGATACACGTCCGTTCAGTCTCAGGAAACGTCCATTTGGTGATGATGAGGTTTTGGGTTGCACCAACAACTTAAACGTGCGTTAGCGGCAGAAGTTATGGAAGTTTCTGGGTAACAAATCTAAACACATACATTACATAATGGATTGGTGCAATTACAGGGACACTCTGAACGCCACAACAATCAGCTTATTACAGGATTACATTGTAGTGGTTATGGTTCATGGATGCTACGAGTGAAGTTCTGCTGAATTCTGGGAATTCTGGCAAAGTCCTTACTCCCTGATTATCATTCCAAATATTTGTACGACGTGGAACGAGATGGTGGGAGTTGGGAGGATTTACAGAAAAATGTAAAGCGATGTCTCTATAAGACACAATAATATGAACTTGGTTCTCTTCATGAAAGGATTGCATTTGGATTATGCGCCGGATGTGAGTCCATTTTGGCCCTCTTCTTCCTTGGACAGCCAGCTGGGTAGAGTTAATGTTATATTTCAGAGGAAGTTTAGCGATTTCTTCCCGTTCTGTTTAATGTGTGTGTACGGCGCCAGGAACAGTGCCTTCTGCTAACTTTTTTGACTGACTTTTTTGTCAGCTTTGCATTTCAAATCGAAATACAGGGTTTGGTAACACGTGGCTGCGCAGCTGCAAAAGTCTCGAAATTAGCATTATCCACTGAAGTTTATCTTTTTCAACATCTTAAAATATATAGATTAAAAATATATTAATATATCAAAATATTACAAAATTAAATGTTTTCATAATATTAACTTATTTTAAAAGTGCTAAAAATATTAAATCATTTGGAAAGCGTTACCCAGCAATATTACATAAAGGTGAAAAAAAAGCATTTTCAGAAAAAAAGGAAAAACTACAGCATGAGTTGGCTTGAAAGTGGGAGACGTGAAACATGAAGTGAAAAAATACTATTACACAAAAAGGAGTAGTGCTTACCATGAATAGCCTTCCAGTGGAAGTGATACAATGAACACAGGACTTTAATGGCGTGTGAGATAATAATCAGTAAAGTACAATCACAGAGAGGTTTTACGATAGCGCTACAATGACCTATCAGCTCCTATCTGCCATCACACCAGGACGTCCAGGCACCCAGACCTATTGGAGAGTGTGTTTCTGTGCTGTAAGGGTTGATACAGTAAAAATCCACGTTTTCTGGGTGTGAGGAATAAACGAAGCTCTGGGCTGGCTGTAATTCTCATTATGTGTTCAACATTAACGGTTTATACATTCCAAAAAGGCTTTGTAAAAAAATACAGCAAAATAAACATAAAAGACCCACTTGCTCGTTCTCTTTTTTATTTGTGTAAAAATAAAGTCAACAATTAATTTCAGCAGTAAGACCAACATAGAAGCATGAATAGTAATGTGAAACATGAAAAGGATTAAATACAGGTTGGATTCGAGCTATTGACCCCTCGAGCGCCTTCGGGAGAGCAGTCCATCCGAGCTATGCACAATGCCCTTGGTGCTCAAGGGGTAAACAGGCGGTGGCAGCGGGATCACAAGGAGACATTTATGGCTTTGGTAATCGAATGTAGGTGCTGATTGCAACATGTTTACCATAGAAATATCCCAAGGAGCACCCGCCGGTTGTAGGACTGGCAGAAATTGTTGTGCTTGGGTGGCCGGCCCTTCTTGGACAGTGACAGAACATAACATTCACAATAAGAAATTGCCTTGAAATAAGACTGAGATCATAGCTCATTGTACAGCGCTACGGAATCTGACGGCGCTATATAAATAATAACATAATAATAATAGCGTTATAATAAGAGCAGCCCACTTTGTGGACGTCACTGTATGCATGCACCAAAAGCAAGTAATTCAAATGTCTTCTCAGCTCACTGGGCTTCGGTAAAGCACAAAATTCTGATAATTCAATGTTCGCTCAACTCCCTGGATCTGACACGTCGTACAAAATGTGCGTGTCCCTCAAAGGGTCTCCGGTGATCACTACAGTACATCTTCATAGAGATCAATAAACTATATATATATATTGATATATATAGACATAACACATCTGTTTTGTGAAAATAAGTGATTTCTATATGTATTTCTTTTTTACAGTTATTTGAGGGAGGGTAGCCCAAGTTAAATTTTGATATATAGATATATATATATAGATATATTTGAAACTGTATTAAAAAATAATTTAACAGATTATACATTTCCTTTTACACCAATACAGATTATGGAATTATCAAAAGGAACAAGGCTTCAGGGTTTGCTAAGCAACTGCTTGCTAGAGGCAATGGCCCTAAGATTCCTCCCTTCAGCTATAGAATTAAAACTTTAAATATGCCGACGGGAGCTTTACACAGTATTTAGGCAAAAACACGGCTGTCTTTGTAACAGCATCCATCACAAAATGGCATTTACCTGAGAGAGGCATATTTAATACAGTGCAAGACGGATTGTAGGAACGGGGACATGTTTTGACATCTTTAGTGCAGGGATTGTCCATGGCTACATTGGAAACAGCATGCAGTGCTGAGCAGACAGCTCCCTGCACACTAAAATCTCTAGAATACCTGTGTAGTATGACTGGCTTATAAAATACAGAGGTTACAGGGGACGTGTGCACCCAAACACGGCTATTCACCATGTAAAGGCTTTCTAGAAACTATGGCAAATAGTGCAAGTCACCTAATGCAAAACCCCAAAATATGCGCCCCACCGACTTGTGAAAGTTTACAAAATGCAAAGGTTGATTCCATTCTTTTTTTTTTTTTTTTAGAAAGAAATTAATTAAGGGTTTCAAAACAAACACACAACATGAGGGGTACATATAATGAGGAATTTGGGGGCAAATTCTCAAATCCCTCTTTTTACATCACCCCATATATTGCATTTTGCTTGTTTTTTAATACAATAAGATTAATCACATCAAATATCATCTCACACAGCTGATGCATTGCAGTATAAAAACTCTATAGAAATGAGTCAAATGTTAGGGCGGTGGATTTAAAAAAAATAATAATAATTTGTCCCAAAGGAAATAGCAAAGGGGATTTATTTGATAATTTTGGGAAGGAAAAAAAAGCAAATAGATGATAAAATGATCAATGTTTCTATCATGCAGATACGTGGCGCGAATAAATATTTTGCTCAGCTACAAAATAAATACTGTATTTACATCTGTTATCGTCTCACAAAAGAAAAAAGATTTTGTATTCCTGGACAATAAAAAAAGGAATGAAAGGATAAAGCTGCTTTGGTTGTGGACCTTCAATCTGAGGAAGCAGTGTGCACTTTAAATGCCATGCTGTTAGTGCTTTCAGGACCTGCTGGAGATATTCAGAGAAAGCAAGGCCCAGGAACCAGATTTTGTAAAAAGTTGTGAATTTTGTGATTTTAGGGGAAAGCATTCGCAGACAGCAACAAAGAAGAAAATGAAGAGATCGGGCAAAAGACAAAAGTGCCTCTAACAAACAGCATAGCAGATGTTTATTGTGAAAAGTCTAAAAAGTATGAAAATGAAAACATTATGTGCTCAAATATTTGCACCAGCTCAAGGCACTCAGGATTAACCCCATCCCTGCTGAAGAGCACTTGTAATCCATTCCTATGAAAAACGTTGCAGGCCCTTACGACAGTTAGAAGGTTAAACTAAGTTGGCAATACAAAAAACCAAACTCTCCAAGGATCTTCATTACTACAAAAGAAATGAAATCTCTCCCTAAAATCCTCTTACTCCAGCCCTGCTCTCCTCTAAGCTCCTTTGTGCCTATTTCTAAAACCCTGAATACTCTCACGCCTAACTTGAGTCGCGAGAGGTGAATTCTTTATGGTAAAAACAAGTGGCTTGGCTGAATTAAGTTTCCCTCTATATTTAAATATAGGGTGTTTTTTTGCCTCATTTTTGTGACTTTTTTATTTATTTTTTTTATCAGTTTTTGCAAGATAGAAAAATTAAACAACCTTTTGTTTGTGATGAGCCCTCGTTTAGAAGGCAGGGTGCAAGATGAGACCAATGATATCTTTTAAGCTGAACAAAATGAAATCCAGCCTCATGTGCTTTCAGTTGATCTGACGACATGCATCAAATGTCCACTTGGTGGCGCCACCGAAGATATCTATGTTGGTCTCTGCCCAGCTGATGACGTTACCGGTGAGTGCCTTATTGCTGCAGGTGGCCAGGTTGTAGACCTCTCCAACAGTCAGCTTCCGGTCCCACATGTTGAAATGAGCCATCTCTCCCACAAAAGCTTGTGTTGCATCAAATCCACCTCCCACTGTATCCTTGTGGGGGGAAAATAAAGAGAATTGTAAAATAATCATCTTTTTCAAAAACATTTTCATTCATTCTATTAAAAAACATTAAAGAGTGAGTAATCTAAAGATATCTGTCCAGATGAAACATTAGGCTTATTATTACACGATTTCAGATTCAGGAGGAAACAAGGGTTGAAAAATAATTGGACCTTTAAGAAGTGAAAGGTTTTCATCTACTAAACAGATTAAATTAATTTAACACTTCAGCCTGACGCGTTTTGATTGTTGCATTTAATCATAGTCCTATGATTATTATATCTGTATTTCAAGTCAAAATTAAAAGAGATGTAAAGATTAATTTACTGCTACCAGAACACATTTTAAATACCAAAATTATACTCATAGGATTCTCTTTATACTAAAAAATATAATAAATATTATACATGTACAACAATTTTACAAACAATTACTGCAATGGATTTATCTGTATGTGTGTGTATTAAAGTATATGTTTCATTTCTGCCTGTGTATATGTGTGTTCGTGTATTTCTATGTGTTTGTGTGTATGTGTGTTCGTATATTCCTATGTGTTTCTGTGTATGTGTGTTTGAGTGCCTGTGTGTTTCTATGTGTTTTTGTGAATGTGTGTTCGTGTATTTCTATATGTTTCTGTGTATGTGTGTTTGAGTGCCTGTGTGTTTCTATGTGTTTGTGTGTATGTGTGTTTGTGTGCCTGTGTGTTTCTATGTGTTTGTGTGTATGTGTGTTTGTGTATGTGTGTTTGTGTGCCTGTGTGTTTCTATGTGTTTGTGTGTATGTGTGTTTGTGTGCCTGTGTGTTTCTTTGTGTTTGTGTGTATGTGTGTTTGTGTGCCTGTGTGTTTCTATGTGTGAATCTGTGGTTTTGTTTCTTCGTGTTGGTGAATGTTAGGTGAAGTCCTTGTGTGTTTGCCTATATATGTGCGTGTCTGTGCATGCATAAGGATGTGTTTGAGGGGGGGTGTGTGTGTGTGTGTGTAACCTCCTTTAATCATACCTGCTCTTGTCCCAGGACCAGGACCCCCTGATGTTTGATTGGATGATAAGGAGCCAGGTTCTCTCCATTTCCCCTCATCACCCCGTCTTGATAGGCTTCCCATACACCATCCCTCGTTGTCCAGGCAACACAGATATGGTGCCATTTACCGTCATTGATAACAAAGGGCAGTTTTGCAACCTGTTGAAGACAATACCTCTCATTTAAAGCAACTTTCCCCATACAGAATTAGTCGATAGACTCTTTATTGTAATAATTGCATTTCTCTAGCTAAAATATTTACTCAGTTTGTTCCATAAGACATATGCCAAAAAGAAAGACAGGCAGATGGTAACGTAGGAAGAAAGATGGATGGATAGATAGATATAAGGAAAGAATGCTGGATGGATTTATTGGATGGATAAATGAATGGATGGACTAATTGGATGGATGAATGGATGGACTAATTGGATGGATGAATGAATGGAGGGACAGATTGGATGGATGGATGGATGGATGGATGGATGAATGGATAGACAGATTGGATGGATGGATTGATGGATGGACAGATTAGATAGATGGATGAATGAATCAATGGATCGATTGGATGGATGGATGGATGGATGGCTGGACAGACTGGATGGATGGGATGACAGAGTGAATGAATGATTGAATGGAGAGAATGAACAGAATGGATGGATGAATGGACAAATTGTATAGATGGATGAAGGGGGTGACAAATTGGATAAATGAATAAATGAATACATGGATGGACATATTGGATGGATGGATAGGTCAACTGGATGGACAGACAAATGGAAAGATTAGATGGATGGATGGAGAATGGATGGACAGACAGACTGAATAGATGGATTGATGGACATATTGGATGGATGGACAGATTGGGTGGGTGGTTAATGGATAGATGGTTGGACAGATTGGATGGATGGATAAATGGATGGATGGATGGATGGATGGATAAATGGATGGACAGATTGGATAGATGGACAGATTGGATAGATGGACAGAATGGAGAGATGGACAGATTGGATAGATGTACAGAATGGAGAGATGGACAGATTGGATAAATGAACAGATAGGATAGATGGACATATAGGATAGATGGACAGAATGGATAGATGGGCAGTTGGACAGATTGGATAGATGGACGGATGTACCGATTGGATAAATGGACAGATTGGATGGCTAAATGGATCGATGGTTGGATGGATAGACAGAATGGATAGATGGACGGATGTACCGATTGGATAGATGGACGGATGTACCGATTGGATAGATGGATGGTGGATGTACAGATTGGATAGATGGACGGATGGACAGGTTGGATGGATGGACAGGTTGGATGGATTGATATATTACTTGGGTTTCTTACCTTGTCATTGATGAGTATTTCCATAGGATTGTTTCCCCACTCAATGAGGACCAGTTCGTTGGCTTGGCCGGGCACAGCATATGAGAACGGAGTCCCTACACCAGGGGAAGCATTGGATTTAAGCCACATGCATACAGTAAAGGCGTACATCTCTGGCAGACTCTTTTTAACCTTGGCGTACATGTAATTGGTCCGCAGCGGGAAGGTGAGCTGGAATTTGTCTGCCGGTCTGTTCTCTTTCTGACCTGGGGAGAAGGTGATAAAGTCCGTGAGTTGATCTCACTCGAGAATCATCGTCAAGGATCAACCTGTGAGCCGGGTTTAGTGACGTGGTATAAATTCTTTACTATTTATTATTCTTTACTATTCAGTTTTCGTCGTTTATAAAGTTTATAAATAAATGACAACATTATTAGGATCCAACTGAAAATCATTATCTCTGCTTCCTTTTCGGTTCCATGATTATACCTTGAATGAATTCTACCTGTACGTCCACGTCTGGACATTAGGGGGCACCCCTGCTGCAACACCATCAAAGTTACATTTAATCCTTGTCAGGAAGGGAATGCTGTGGTAACTTGTTCTGCTTTACAACCCTATAAAGCAACAATTCCAGGCGCCACTCAATATTCCGCTGGCGTACCTAGGCAGCAGGCCTGACCGAAGCTTTATAGCCCAATGTGCCTCCCACATACAGCCTGCCTCTGGCCCCACACTCAGATCCTGGGGATTAAACCAAGCCTGTTTGGTGGAGGTTACAATGTAACTCCAAATAAATTCAGGGATTCTATTCTCTATGCTCCCAGATGTCTGTGAACTACAATCACCCTCAGCCAGTCATAACACACCAATACCATATACCAACACCTTAAATAGCTGCTGTGTACAAATGATGTATTTTGTAATGTACGAGGGGATTAAGAGCACTTCAGATATGTGTTTTAAACTAGGACCTATTTCAGGAAAAGCCATTCACTAGAGATTTGGGCATAAATGCATCACAAAAGTTGTTACAATAATTCTTAAATTAAAATGCATGTTTGTGAAACTGGTAAAAAAAAAAAGTGTTACAATTTTAAAAATAAACTAAACTTGCTTTGGTGAGCTATGGTTTTAGTATGGCTGATATAGTCTACTTTAATTCTAGGGATTGTAAAAAGCAATGATTTAGCAGATGAGAAGATTATTTAACAATTTAACTCCTGGTTTTATTGCCTGTACCTTGTCCTCTCTGCCCACCTCAACCTTCACTAGAACTGCACAGGAATCCCTCCTTTACCACATACAGGCAGGCTGAGGATACTGGGAGTGCTGATTAAGTTCCTTACCTTTCTCCAGGTCTGTGATCCTCTGATGAAGGGTTGTCAGAGTGCTTTCAATCTTTCCCCTCTGCTCACTTTCATTTCTAAGATTCATTTTCCCTTCTTCCAGATTATTCACTCTGGAGAGAACTTGTTTCTCCAGATCCTCTATTTTGAGTTGCAGTAGGTCTTTCAGGCTGTTGGCTTGGGCAGATGAATTGCCCCTGCTGTACATCTACAAGGGGAAGGACACACAGAGGGAGTAAGTGGATTGTCACAAACATCACTAACTCTGTACTTTATAAATTAAACGAATTAAGAGCTTAGTGACTTAGATAATTCTAACAGGGGCTAACGTAATGAGACTAGAAACCACCGAAGATGTGTCACCTGCAAAATCCTCAAACATGGTCCTCAAGGAGAGCAGAATATTTACACAATAAGGTTTTAGATTGTCATACAGGTTTGCACAATTTATGGAACTGGTGGATCCCATACAGGGCTGCCAGGACTTGGGGTCAGGACTTTAAGGAGGCTGGGGTCAGGACCCTCAGGAGGCTGGGGTCCGGACCCTGAGGAGGCTGGGGTCAGGGCTGCCAGGAAGCTGGTGTCAGGACCCTCAGGAGGCTGGGGTCAGGATCCTCAGGAGGCTGGAGTCAGGGTTGCCAGGAGGCTGGGGTTAGGGCTGCCAGGAATCTGGTGTCAGGACCCTCAGGAGGCTGGGGTCAGGGCTGCCAGGAATCTGGTGTCAGGACCCTCAGGAAGCTGGGGTCAGGGTTGCCAGGAGGCTGGGGTTAGGGCTGCCAGGAATCTGGTGTCAGGACCCTCAGGAGGCTGGGATCAGGGCTTCCAGGAGACTGGGGTCAGGGCTGCTAGGAGGCTGAGGTGACACAGAAGGGATCTGATACAATGCGGTCAGGGTGAACATTTAAACTCAAGATTAAAATCTGCCCATTCTGGTCTCCATGACAAGTTCCATCCTCACCTCCAGGTTCTCCAGTCTTGTTTTTAAAGACTGCAGGGTTTGTCCAAGCTGGGTGAGGGTCTCAGCTGTAGGGGTCCTGGACAAGTCCCCCATTGTGTTTTTGGGGGTCCCATTCTCCTTCTTCCTGGAGCCAGTGCTGCCAAGTGAGGGGATCTCCAGAACTGTGTTCCCCTCACATCTGGCCAGTTTGGTGGTCAGCTCTCTAATGGTGTCCTTCTGGTTCATGATGGTCTCTTTCTGCTGTAGGACGGTCTCTCTCAGCTGCAGGATGGTGGTCTTCAGGTCCTCTGTGGGTCCACTGCTCTGCATGGAAGAGGTGCACAGGTCCATGTCTACGGGAACTGAGGTGCAGATAAACCTCGTCTGCGCGAAATTCTGCGCTGATCCTCTAAGAAAACAGAAAGAGAGCAGCAAACATCTCCAGCAAGCTCCAGAAATCATGGTCAGACTGCCAGAGCCGGAGACACAAAGTAACTGAATGCAGGACCTCCAGCCGGAGACACAATGGAACCAGCGGCTCTATCTTCAGCACCAGGAACTGTCCACACAGTGCTGCAGTAACAGCCTTATATAGAGCCTTATAGTGAAGGGGGGGTCGTCACACTGGGAGGAATCCCTGTTTAATTGTGTTGTAGGAAGGAGTGAGGGCAGGTCCAGCAATGAAACAGCTGTCTCTTCACAGTCTCTCTCAATCTGTCTAACAGTCACTCTCTCTCTCTCTCTGTGTACATCTCACAGTCCCACAGTCTCGGTGTCTCTGTCTGTCTCTTACACTCTCAATATATCAGGCAATCAACTCTAACTGTCGGTCTCACACTCTCAGTGTCTGTCTCTCACACTCTCAGTGTCTGTCTCTCTCACTTTCAGTGTCTGTCTCTCACACTCTCAGTGTCTGTCTCTCACACTCTCACTGTCTGCCTCTCTCTCACACTCTCACTGTCTGCCTCTCTCTCACACTCTCACTGTCTGTCTCTCACACATTCTCGGTGTCTGTCGCTCACTCTCAATGTCTGTCTCGCACATACTCTCAGTATCTCATCTCTCTCTCTCTTTCTCAGTATCTGTCTCTCCCTCTCTGTCTGTGTCTGTCTCTCACATAACAGTGTCTCTCTCTCAGTGTCAGTATCTCTCTCTCTCACACTCTCTCATTGTCTGTCTCGCTCTCAGTGTCTGTCTCTCACACTCAGTGTCTCTCACTCTCAGTGTTTATCTGTCTCTCACTCTCGGTGTCTGTCTCTCTCACTGTCACACTACTACTGACACACTATGTATACTGATACACACTGTGTATACTGACATTCACTATGTATACTGACACACACTATGTATACTGACACACACTATGTATACTGACACACTATGTATACTGACACACACTATGTATACTGACACACTATGTATACTGATACACACTGTGTATACTGACACACACTATGTATACTGACACACACTGTGTATACTGACACACTATGTATACTGACACACTATGTATACTGATACACACTGTGTATACTGACACACACTATGTATACTGACACACACTGTGTATACTGACACACACTATGTATACTGACACACACTATGTATACTGACACACACTATGTATACTGACACACTATGTATACTGACACACACTATGTATACTGACACACTATGTATACTGATACACACTGTGTATACTGACACACACTATGTATACTGACACACACTGTGTATACTGACACACTATGTATACTGACACACTATGTATACTGATACACACTGTGTATACTGACACACACTGTGTATACTGACACACACTGTGTATACTGACACACACTATGTATACTGACACACTATGTATACTGACACTCACTATGTATACTAACACTATGTTTACTGATACAGACTGTGTATACTGACATTCACTATGTATACTGACACACTATGTGTACTGACACACTATGTATACTGATACACACTGTGTATACTGACATTCACTATGTATACTGACACACACTATGTATACTGACACACACTATGTATACTGACACACTATGTATACTGACACACACTATGTATACTGACACACTATGTATACTGATACACACTGTGTATACTGACACACACTATGTATACTGACACACACTGTGTATACTGACACACTATGTATACTGACACACTATGTATACTGATACACACTGTGTATACTGACACACACTATGTATACTGACACACACTGTGTATACTGACACACACTATGTATACTGACACACACTATGTATACTGACACACACTATGTATACTGACACACTATGTATACTGACACACTATGTATACTGACACACACTATGTATACTGACACACTATGTATACTGATACACACTGTGTATACTGACACACACTATGTATACTGACACACACTGTGTATACTGACACACTATGTATACTGACACACTATGTATACTGATACACACTGTGTATACTGACACACACTGTGTATACTGACACACACTATGTATACTGACACACTATGTATACTGACACACTATGTATACTGACACTCACTATGTATACTAACACTATGTTTACTGATACAGACTGTGTATACTGACATTCACTATGTATACTGACACACTATGTGTACTGACACACTATGTATACTGATACACACTGTGTATACTGACATTCACTATGTATACTGACACACTATGTATACTGATACACTGTGTATACTGACATTCACTATGTATACTGACACACTATGTATACTGATACACTATGTATACTGAAACTCACTATGTATACTGACACACTATGTATACTGACACACACTATGTATACTGATACACACTGTGTATACTGACACACACTATGTATACTGACACACACTGTGTATACTGACACACTATGTATACTGACACACTATGTATACTGATACACACTGTGTATACTGACACACACTATGTATACTGACACACACTGTGTATACTGACACACACTATGTATACTGACACACTATGTATACTGACACACTATGTATACTGACACTCACTATGTATACTAACACTATGTATACTGATACACACTGTGTATACTGACATTCACTATGTATACTGACACACTATGTATACTGATACACTGTGTATACTGACATTCACTATGTATACTGACACACTATGTATACTGATACACTATGTATACTGAAACTCACTATGTATACTGACACACTATGTATACTGACACACACTGTGTATACTGACACACACTGTGTATACTGACACACACTATGTATACTGACACACTATGTATACTGACACTCACTATGTATACTAACACTATGTATACTGATACACACTGTGTATACTGACATTCACTATGTATACTGACACACTATGTATACTGATACACTGTGTATACTGACATTCACTATGTATACTGATACACTGTGTATACTGACATTCACTATGTATACTGACACACTATGTATACTGATACACTATGTATACTGATACTCACTATGTATACTGACACACTATGTATACTAACACTATGTATACTGACAGTCTGTAACATGTATACTGACACACACCAGGTATACCAACACACACACTCTCTCTCTCTCTCTCTCTCTCTCTCTCACTAATAATGGCTCCTGATATCAGACACTGAGCTCTGCAGTCTCACCCTGTATGTGACCAGCTACAGGGACCACATGGGGGCAGGCAACCTCTAGAATCATCCTCTGGAGGCAGGCACACCCATCACACTCGGCCAGCCAGGGGGACTGAAGGTGCATTAGACATAGCAGGATCTGCTCAGAGTGGCTACAACGCTACTGCTACTGCAGGCGACTTACACACCGGCAGGACTTATCGCTATAGAGCAGACTGTGGATGCCCCTACTCCAGTCAGCCTTTGGATGGCTGAGGATGGTGGTGGGTGTCATCCAACAGCTGAATGGCTGCAGACTGGAGCCCTTGTTACAGAATGAAATATATAATGTACAGCATCCATTGATTTTCCTGTGTGGCTTTAGATAGCTCAATGGAATCGTTACAGCATCCCTCTCCCAAGGATGAGCAGAGAGTCTGGTACCCCAGCTGTGGCTCATCAGACAAGTGAGAGAAACAAGTTCGGATGGAATATAAAAGCAGCCACAGACCTGCCTGGGAGCCTTCAGTTACCAGCAGGGATCAAACAATTAGATGGAGATTGGGAGGGGGAGAGAGGGAGCCCTGATAGTAAATAGCTGTAATACAATCACCCAATATGGTTCTAATGCAGCAAACACTGGGTCAAGATGTGCCTGTTCTAGCAAGCAGATCTTATTTTGCAGAGGATGTACTTACTCATTAACCCTTCCTGTATCTTCCAAAATTACAGGAAGATTATGTATATAAATCCATTTCTACAATGTCTCACCATGTAGCATTTAAAGAACACTTCCTGCTTAGTGTTTTATTACTGGGGTTACTCACAGTACTGGGTACCAGTACCCCAAAGAGCATTTATTATTGGCACAATGATTGGGGACTGCCCCCCTCCCCTTCCCCACCACTCATTATTTTTCGGTCAGGATGCAATTCCTATTATGAGGAGGGGGGGAGGTCAGTCCCCAATCCTTTTCCCAATAATAAATATTCTTTGGTGTACTGGTACCCAGCACTGGGAGTAACACAGTAATAAAACAGTAATAAAACATTAGACATGAAATATTCTATATAAATACTACATAAGGCGCCTATTTTAGAATTATTATTATAGCAGGAGGGGACTGGTCCCCTGCCGCAGCTCTGGGTAAGGTCTTGGTGAACTGACACAGTTACTGCAAGGTTGTGAATACTGAACTGTACATGAACAGCTCAGCTACAAGGATTCTCCTTTCATGTCCCCTGTGTTTAAACATGTTCTGTTTCAGATATGCACTGCCATAGATGCTGCATGCTATTTTTATCTCATTGAATACTTGCCCTTCTCTCCCTTTCCATGTTTAATTCCGCGGAGTACGGATAGTCTCCATTAAGCACCTTGGCTTCCTGTCTTGTGGGAATAGAGATATCAGATTCTGTATATTGCAATAAGGAGATAGAGTTTCTGTGTCTGTAGCAAGACTGGGAGATGGTGAATGGAATTTGAACTCATTCACATATAGAGCTTTCAGATTCTTGGGAGATGTTCTAGCTAATGGAATCATGGTGAGACTGGGCCTTCAAACACACTCAGTCAGGGGTAAAGCCATTCCCAATGAAGGCTGTGCTTTGAATCCCTTTGTCAGACACATCTAACCTTGGAAATGTTTAATTATCTTCATGTGTAAAATCAGGCTGCTTGCTCTGGGAGGTTTGAGTGGAGTCCATCGATACATGGATAGAAAGATTATGGACAGTCCTTAATGGCAGACATCAAACAAGGTCAGGCAGCCAATATAGAGACACACACTAAAAGGGCAAAATAAATAGAAAACACTGCTCTGTTTTAAAATAATAATTCTTTAGAGTCGAGTAGGAGTTTAAATGATAAAAGATATAAAATGATGGCTAAAAAAGGAAATAGACTTAA